AGCTCCCCTAGAAAGGTTAGCGCGGCGCAAGCCTGTACTTCACCTGTGGAAGCTAGCGTACCACAACTGAGGCGCAGTTTGACGACGGGGGGGGCATTTTGCACTTTTGCTACTTCCCATCGACGTGTCGACCTATCTAGACAGCCTCTTCTCGAGTTGACAGGTTTTACCATGATGGCTTGACGACCTTGTTCCAGCTTCACAAGAGTTCACAGGTTTCGCCAGAGTGAGACATGTAAACCGGAACTAAGGAAGCAATGATAGTACAAAATGCCCCCTTGTCGCCAAACTGCGACCACAACCGATGGAGAACAGCCTGATGCTTCAAAGCCAGCTCTAGGAAAGGCCTGAGAACAAGACTGTGAGGGCCGCTGCCTCCTAGCAGTTCCTACGTCTGTGAATGTAAGCAGTACCAATCGGTGCTGATCGTACAAACGAACGCTTTTCGGATATCCTTTGCTCGGTGAGCCTAACCTCAAATGAAGAGCAGACGCGCGCTTTTATTCAGCCTTTCCGCCCATACGATTACCTTGGAATGTGCCTTTAAATGAACAAAGTGCGAAAAAATGAATCACTGAGTTGGGAATAGGGAAAACGTCTACTGAATTGTTACTTGGATAGCCATAAATATGTCTTACAGGAAATTCTCCGACGCGATTGGATGTTCAAATTGGTGGGCAAAGAATCATTTCAACTCGGAACAATGAAATGTATAATTACTGTGGAAGCCTTGGGCACATTTGCTTACGAGTATTCCCTAGAGGTGAGCCGTTCTCTTTGTGATCTTAGAACAAGTGGTGAGAACCATAGTCGTTTCAGGTGAACGGAAAGAATTATGAAAAATTCCGAGAGGAACAAAGTAAGAAGCTACTGTGTTGGGAAACTCACATAGGTGGCGAAGAGACGAGAATAGTGCTAGGTTAGTTATATTTTTTATTGTGCTGGATTAATACCTTGCGTCAATGGGTAATCGGGGAGTCCACGAGATGGACCATACACCCATTGACCTTAGGGGCTCGAAAACTGTGTGATCCCATTTTTGGGGCTCAAGAGAGCTCAACAAGATCGGCACATAGTATTGGGTTGGCCCATAAGTGATGCCACATTTTTTTTGCTTTTTGCTATTAATGGTGGAAATCTCTTTCTCTAAGTTATTACGTTGTTTTGACAAATGATTTTTCTGCTCTAGACACAACCAGCTTTACTGACCTACCTACATTTACTGACCTACCTACCTTTTCCTGGTTCATGTCCATTTCTATTCCATTGGAATGGAGTATCGGGTTGATTTTTTGCAGTCTGTCTCGGCTGTCAAAATACAGCAGAAGCGCAAAACCCGTGGTGTATATGAACAAGAGAAGATGTTTCTTATGACAGCTTGAAGTTGGTTCAAGCGATAAGAGGTGGACATTCGGGCCTTGTAAATGTGCATCGCTTGGGGGGTCCTAATGAGCAGTGAGTGCGTGCAGAAGCTACCCACTAATTTTCGAAGTCTAGCATCAAATGAGGGTAATGCTTAACAATGATAGAAAGCATTACATTGACCTTTAACATTTCCTCATCTTTGGCATGAATCTCCGTGAATAAGGTAATTCAGTAAGCTCTCAGTTGGACTCAATAGGGCATTAGGTTCGATGCTTGTCTGTGAGGTCGAAACTGAAATCTTCGAAACGCTCAAACAGTTGTAAGCATTTGGACTTGACATAGATTCTTGCCTATACATATACTTAACATATGGGTCTATGCGGGTGTTCGAGCTTGGGGATCTCCTCTTACGCGGGTTCTTACCTAAGTGGATGTAACCTATGGAAGCGATGACAGGAACTAGAGTGGAAGCTCGCAAGAAAGTGGATCTACTTCCCTAAGGGGGGGGGGGAGGGGTCATTGAATCGCTGAGATTCCCATACGCATCCTCTGGCCTCAGTAAGGCTCCTTCTACACGTTTTCTATGGGGATGGAATCACCTTTTCCAAGGGAATATTCGCGCTGAGATCCCCCTTAGCCCTGGATCTCGCGATCAATGAGATCGTCTGCCGCACTGGCTCTGGACCGCGCTGAAAACCCCTTTCCAGAGGGCTCCGAGCATCGGTCTCCATAGGTTACATCACTTAGGTAAGAACCCGCGTAGAGAATATCCACAGGGCTCGGAGCTTCATAGGAAGTGGTTCATCAGAGATCCAACTGCCTCTGGAAAAGGGGTTTTCAGCGCGTCCAGAGCCAGTGCGGCAGACGATCTCATTGATCGCGAGATCCAGGGCTAAGGGGGATCTCAGCGCGAATATTGCCTTGGAAATGGTGATCGGAAGATTCATCAACCCATAGAAAACTGATAGAAGGCAGCCTTACTGCAGGCAGAGGATGGTATGGAATCTCAGCGATACAATGACCCCCCCCCCTTAGGGAAGTAGATCCACTTTCTTGCGAGCTTCCACTCTAGTTCCTGTCATCGCTTCCATAGGTTACATCCACTTAGGTAAGAACCCGCGTAAGAGAAGATCCCACCAGGGCTCGGAGCCCTCTAGGAAGGTGTTCATGCCAAGACTCGAGCCTCTGGAAAGGGGTTTTCAGCGCGTCCAGAGCCAGTGCGGCAGACGATCTCATTGATCGCGAGATCCACGGCTAAGGGGGATCTCAGCGCGAATATTGCCTTGGAAATGGTGATTCCATCCCCATAGAAAACGTGTAGAAGGAGCCTTACTGAGGCCAGAGGATGCGTATGGGAATCTCAGCGATACAATGACCCCTCCCCCCCCTTAGGGAAGTAGATCCACTTTCTTGCGAGCTTCCACTCTAGTTCCTGTCATCGCTTCCATAGGTTACATCCACTTAGGTAAGAACCCGCGTAAGAGAATATCCCACCAGGGCTCGGAGCCCTCTAGGAAGGTGTTCATGCCAAACACTCCATGTCCTCTGGAAAGGGGTTTTCAGCGCGGTCCAGAGCCAGTGCGGCAGACGATCTCATTGATCGCGAGATCCAGGGCTTAAGGGGGATCTCAGCGCGAATATTGCCTTGGAAATGGTGATTCCATCCCCATAGAAAACGTGTAGAAGGAGCCTTACTGAGGCCAGAGGATGCGTATGGGAATCTCAGCGATACAATGACCCCCCCCCCTTAGGGAAGTAGATCCACTTTCTTGCGAGCTTCCACTCTAGTTCCTGTCATCGCTTCCATAGGTTACATCCACTTAGGTAAGAACCCGCGTAAGAGAAGATCCCACCAGGGCTCGGAGCCCTCTAGGAAGGTGTTCATGCCAAGACTCGAA